GGTACCTGCGTTCTATCTCCCGTGTGTTAAGTGGTATAATAAGGTGAGCAATATTGAAGTGAGGCTTCATTTGAGTGTTAGGTAAGGAGGGGAAATCAATCTACGAGGTTGTGAAGTTACATCGACTGAGATGGTTAGGACATGTGTTACGTATGCCTAGTCATTGCCTTCCTCGACGGGCAATGTTAGCTGATATAGGGTCAGGCTGGAAAAGAGCTAGTGGCGGTCAAACCAAAACATGGCACCAGTCAATGAAATCTACTACAGTTAGTTTAAGCCACGTAGGAAGATGCAGACTTCCTGGCTTGGGTCCTCGGGACGGTAAAAACCAATGCTTGGAAACAATTGGTGACATGGCTCAAAATCGTTCTCAATGGCTAGTGCAGATGCATCCACTCCTTGTGATTTATGATTTCCAATGAAACTGTTTTGTTCTTCGTTACTACTATTCCTTTGTCTCACACCTCTGTTTACTGTCTCTAATATGCATTTCTTCTACTTTCTTCTCTTGCTTTGTGTGCTACATGGAGTGTGGTGACTTGAACTTCGGCACATATGTGCAAAATTCTGTATCGAAGACAGACAGTCATGAGAACCACCTACATTTGCTAGCTTAGCAGTCAGGTAAGCACACAATGGTGTAATACTGAAAGAGGTATCTTTTATACATTGAATCCACATAACCCATATTGCACTGCATCAATCAGTGCAAATATGTATTATATCCACTAAGAGATAACTCTTAAGCTTACCATAATTCCTGTCCAACGACAGGTAAATTGACAAGCACATCTACATGGTAACTTAAGTTCCCACAGAAGGTTCTGTTAGCATTTAGAGGTGATTTCCATATACTGTCAAAAAGGACTGTTATTCACACGAAAATAGGCTGAATTAATATCCTGAGGCGTGAAGTCTTCATTGAATGATACTATGACGAAAGGTGCAGCTTCTATGTGGAGTAAACGATTAGTGTGGATGACATTACCCCCTACTCTCCCGTCTTCCTCATTACACCGATATTTTGACACGCTAATCATTGCGACCAATATGCTAAGAGTGTGCCGGAGTCAGATCATATGACGCGGACAGAAAATGGGAATCCCCATCAATCCAAATAATATATAATACAACTTTATTAAAAGTTATGGACAAAACAAATTTCTAGGCGAAATCTCAACAGAATGTGATGTGTATGTCCAGCTGTACTTCAAAGTCATTGAATTCAGGTCCGATGACCTTTGAAAAGCGGCCAAATTTAACTCCGAAGGTCAGCCCCTAATAAATGAGGGTCTTATTGTTTCCTTTTGTCACTTTTCGGGATGTGCGTGTGATTTGCTGTGAAACTAATGGCACAGTGCAAGTGAGGAAATATGAAGTTAACTTTCAAGTGCCAAATAGCAACAGTGAAGAATAGATACCACAACCAAATTACCTTGAGCCAACCAGTCAGATCCCTAAACACTACAAAAGGATGCTTTTCGTAGTCTCCGTTGTAAGTTTCACCCTGACTTATGGTTCGAGTCAGAGTGGGATATGTCTAGGTCTAAATTAGGGTTAGGACTAGAATAGGGTATCCAATATCCTGATTACGAGCTAGTATAAACCAGTGATTTCTTTGAGCTCGCTTCTTGATTGTGAGGTAGAGGTTCCAGATCTTTGGTGAGCTTCTGTTTAGTAAGTCCCGCCACTCGACTGCTTTAGCTCTGGTAGACTCCAGGAGGAATGGTGCGGGGATTGGTCGAGATGTGGTTTGTAGTATTCAGTATGTTAGGACTGTATTGCTGCCGTGAATGGAGTTTGACCTAACTCCCGTTGGTCATTCGGTGTAGTCATAAAAAGCAGAATAGTAGTAATAATAATAAGAATAAAAATAATGGGTTATAGTGTAGATAATATAGGTTGAGATAAGTGGAATAATAAAGGTGACCTAAGGAAAAGATAGAGTGAGAGAAGGCAGAATAGGTCGCGGGGATTTAGTTTGTACGCTTATCAATTGACAGTGTGGTTTCAAGTTTTATGGGGATAAGCCATTGAGAAACAAACCTTGCATTTCTGCATGATTGTCTAGCTTCCGCTTAAAAATCTCCAGATTATAACCGTGATGGAATCAACCCTAACTACTGACTTCAGCGACTCAGGGATTGACTTGTTACCAGGTCATAATCTCGTTGGCTTAGAATATGCAGACGATATAGTCCTTCTAGGTGGAGACGCTGGCAAAATGCAGTCTTTCGAACACCTCAAGTAGCAATCTACGAATGTTTGACATGTGACTTGCTCCCGTCAAATGTAAGGTGATACTACAGGCCTGGAATACATTGACTCCTGGCTTAAAGATAGGTAGTGAAGTGGTAGAGAGTTTTAACCACTCCACTTAGTTTGGAAGTTGCGTCAGTCGCGACGGGTAGACCGCTGACAAAATCTCAACACGGATACAGTAGGCTCGTTTAACATACACCAACTCGCTCCATCTCTGGAGCAGACGCAATCTTCGCCTATCGACCAAAGGGCGTGTATACTGTTCAGCAGTTCACTCCGTCCTCCTCTGTGATTGGCTGTTAGACAGGGTCATTGTAAGTGGAAGACTTGAAGAGACCAGCTGTCTGTGGTCATAAGTGCCTGTGTTCTATCTCTCGTGTTAGTTGGTATAACTGGGTGAGCAATATTGAGGTTAGGCGGCGAGGTTAAGACATATGTTGCGCATACCTAGTCATTGCCTTCCTCGATGGGCGATGTTAGCTGACATGGGATCAGATTGGAAAAGAGCTAGAGGTGGTGAAACCAAAATATGGCTCCATCGGTCAATGAAATCCGCAACAGCTAGTCCAAACCAGCCACGTACAGAGGTGTAGACTTCTTGGCTGGGATCTTCGGGGTAGTGAAAATCAGTGGCTGGAGACAATTTGTGGCTCAAAATTGTTCTCAGTGGCGCAGATGCATTCGCTCTTTCTGATTTATAATGTCCATATTACTATTCTTTTTGCCTCAATTCTGTTTGTTATCTCTCGTTTGAATCTCCCTTTACTATATTCTCTTACTTTGTGTGCTACATGGAGTGTGGCAACTCGAAATGCTGCGCATCTGTAGAAAGATACACGTTAAAGCCAGTCAGTCACCAGGGATATATTAATTATCTGATGCACGATGTGGGTCCACATAGATGTTCTAGAAGATATTATCTCATGTAGATGACTTATAGTACTGCATTTTCTTCAATCATCGGTTTTACTTACTTAGCGGCCCTTACTTTTGTCTCTGACTAGATATTATACGAGGCTACCTCAGATAAGTCTTGTTGTCAGCTTCAGCCACTCATTTATTTATTTTTCCCTTCAATAAAGAGTGTGATCAGCATCTACACAAGTGTTCCAGAAGGCGAAACAGTATTTTATCGACCCTTTCCGTCTGTAGCTAATAGCTACACTATCTATTTGGGTCCATCCTTGATTGATGGTGGAAGCCGCTAGGTTAGAAGATATCTCACCTTGTGTTTGTAGTTAGAACTGACGGAGAACAGATGATTGTGTAAACAGGACTATGTAATATGATCACCGTTGTTGTTCCGTCAGCGTGGGGCTTCATAGATGCCACTAATATACTTTTCATTTTGTCACGGCCTCCCTACTTCAGCAATAAAGTTACCTGCTAAAATGACTATATCTGAGCCTTTAGCTTTCAACAGCAAACTAGACTGTTTTTGATAGAACTCATCTTTTAATTAGTTTCAGTTGCAACCAGTTGATTCGTAAGTAGAGATTATGAAAAAACATCAAAAGTGGATTAACTTCCGTATTAAGATGTTACCGCCGGCTGCGCACCCTTGCGAGGTAAGTCGGAATGTGCGATTTTCGAGGTTGAATTTTCCAACCCCCTTCTCCAGCATAACTGCCATACTGCGTTTATATCCTTATTCACCATCACTACAACTTCAGCCTATGACCAACATAATGTGAGCGACTAACACTATGATGGTAAATGCTTTTAGTCTAAATGCTATCCAAACGATCTGCAGAGCATTCGTCCTAGCTAGTTTAGCCTCAAAACAATTCCAACAGTGGTGTGAACACGGGCAGTAATTTTGCTCGAAATGTCACCAATAACAAAACTTATCATTGTGTGTAAACTATTGAAATATAATTATACTTTAATTGAACTGATTTGTCAATTTTCCTACCCCACACTACAAATCTATTATGAATAATCACCACCATCGTCTCCCGTTTTACAATATTTTGTAATCGATTTCAGCCTAGCACGTTTGTCACACAAATACGACTACTTATTTTGACACCCCATAACTAATCTGTTATTATACGTTAAAAGTGTATCCGCCGCATAACTGGCCTTTATTGTAACGACAACAAATATTATATTTTATAATTGTAAGAACTTGAAGAGAAATTATTGAAAAGAATATTCTTCGTTCAGATTGACTTTTAACTTTTTAGTTGCTTAACTTTCTGAAAACAATTAATACTTTCTTGACATAACAGTTCATATTCACCCTCACTTCTTATGATTGTAATACGAAAGTTTTAGCTAACAGAATACTAATTTTAGTTGTTTTTCTTCCTAGTTGTTGAATCCGTCTCATCGTAGCAAAAAGTGAAAGTGGCTAGAGCGTGACAACATCATGTCGTTCTATTCTCACAACCCTATTTGGCATGTTGGCGTACACTTCTGATTGATCTGATTAGTTGGAAATCACTCACGTCACCCAGTAGTATCTGCCAGTCATATAGAAGTAGTCTAAACACCGGATAGCTGTTTTGCTCGCCTGGAGTCGAGCTCATAAGCGGTTTGTCCAGACTGACTGAACTCAGAGAATTGAATTAGATGAATCCATCCGAGATCTAGCTATCTACTTCAAAGAACTGGTAATACCTAGAACTGAATTCACACTTTACAAATCACAGTTCGCGGTGAAAATTCAAAAGGAAACTCTGTTAAATTCTCACCTACAAAATGTGTAATTTGCGAATCAAAAATTAGGTTTTCAGCTAACTATATCCTAAAAGCGAGTATATGTTAAGTGGTGGTCACATAACAGTCAATAAATGAAATTTATTAATTAAACATTCGATATCAGTGAAGAAACTATGCGTATGGAGGTAATACTAACAAATCTTTCAGTCCATTATCCTTTTAAATGAAGAATGGACTAACACATCCATCTTCTGTCCCAATTACGTAATTTAATAAAACTAGTGCAGTGTTGGTAAACGGAAACGAAATTATTTTATATTGTAAATTTCGCACACTTCTGTGTATTCATTTGTACATTTCAGACGAATGAAAAATATAAGTAGTAGGAATAAGTTTAATCGTCGTAGTTACATTACACTATTTGGGTAAAATAATACAAAGTTATAACATTTATTATCAACAATCAGTCGAAGAGAGGGGAATTAAAAAAAACAAAGAGAACACAAATAAAATAGCAATAAACAGAGAAGATAGATACAGCAAAATAAAACATTGAATTAATTAAATACACAATTGCGATTAATTTACTGACACACAATAGTCTTTATAAAGATGAAAGTCAGTTAATAAAACAACAAAAACGCATCATTGTGAATGCTAAGGATAATATGAATAGATAAAAACATCCTAGAACAAAAACCAATTTATTTTAATTTCAGGTTCATTACCTTTATTTATTCTCACTATATAACTCAAGCACACGAGTGTATATAAAAATAGTCAAAAAGAAAGGAATATTAGTGTGTATTCATTACAGCATATAGTAAATAGAGTAAAGAGGTGTGTGAAATCTGAGGAAATGATCACATCTTCTCATCTATTCCTCACTTACTTATTTGTCATATGTTTTAACTTTCTTATCTGTCTGTTCAAATGTATTGCTTAGTACCTTAGTGATAGTGAACATTCAACAGTATTGCTGTACAAAATAAATGTTTTAACAAACTGAATATTCTTCTTTTTTCTTGAAAAAAAAGAAAGGGGAAAATAAATTTTCATGTGTGTTCTCATATACTCCTTCTCTCTTGTGCAGTTGTTACACTATATCTGGCTAGCTGACTTTTTCGATTGTGTCACACAAAATCTTGTTAACAGTAATCCAATAACAGATCCAATAAATAATGATATTAATAAAATAAATAAGACAATAAATAGTTTTGTACTTAATGAAACTTTAGGACTTTCACTTGGAAGATGACCAGACTGATCTAGCATATATCCCAATGCCCAACTGACTGATTTACCATTGATCTAAAACAGTAGTAATAAAGAATATAAAAAAAAGTAAAAAGATTTTTATTTTGGTGATAATGAGAGCAGGTTGATAAATTTCACTTTCATTACATAACGTAGAGTGAACGTTGGCAGGATTCAGAACGTGTTTCTTATCTTATTTTTGGACGTATTGGCAGAATGTACTTGAACCCTTTTTTCACTTGTTTGCATTCCCAATAGAACGTAGAACTTTGAATTTTCAGTAGTAGTGTTTATTTTTTAGGGTGGGGTTGCTAGACTCAAGCTCAACCTTCCCACTTTTCCTCGATTCGTATCGGATAGCAAACTAGGCGAGCATTAGGAGTGCGCCGGCTAGGAATCGGACCTCGGGCAATATGTTAGGTTGACGAGCATCCTATCCCTGAATGTCTGACTCATACTGCTTGAATTCTAGTAACGGCTAAATGATGTGCTTGTTGTGTCATGCATACTAATTAATGCCAGTACTTGGACAGGACAATAAACACATTTTCACGGCTTCGTACCTATCAAGTACAAAAGAAATTTAGTGAAGACCCTCAGCCACAGAGTTAGAGCTATATGCTCAGAAGAAGTAATTCAAGATGAATTAAGCATTGTATATGATACTTTGATCGAAAATACCTATCCCGAAAAATTTATCAAGAAACACATGACAAAGAGAGAGGAAAGGGCTACTCCCTATCTGTAAACAAGAAGCCACTCTATATATGACCGCAATTCAAGGGCGATATACCAAGTGAGATAATTACGAATAAATTAAGAAAATCAGTTCAAAGAACTTTTAATGCTGGCGAACTACACGTCTTATTCTCGACACGACTGATGGTGCTACCCCGACTGAAAGATGAAGTACCTTGACTAGCCACTTCTAATTATACCTACCAATTCAACTGCGCTTGTGGAGCGAGTTATATTGGCCGTTGCTCTAGGAACTTGATTTTTCGTGCTCGAGAACATCTCCGACTGTGGCTAAGTAAATGTGCAGTTAAAACCATTAACAGTTCGATATTGGACCATCTGGTGCAAACCGGCCACAGAGCCAGCCAGCGTGGAAGAATCCTTCTCTATAATCTACCGGGTGCCTAATAAATTGTCAAAATCATCGAAGCACCGCATGCTGCAAACAGCAGAGGCTATTGCAATTCGCCTCAAACAACCAGTGCTCTGTTTTCAAAAGAAGCAAGTCCAGCCCTTACTACTATAATTCATGAATTTGTAATATTATCTTTCCTAATTTTTCTGATATTCAGTTTATTATGTTGACGCTATTCAAATGTAATCTATTGATATTATTGATTTGATGTTAATTCAACATTAATGTTGTTAATAACAACACTTATTCATTCACTATTATGTATAAATAACTGTAGAACCTGATGATGAAGTTATCGAAAAGAATGTTCTATGTTCAGTATCCATTCTTTTGAGAATTTTAATAGGCATTTTTAATCAGTTAGAGATATTTTTGCTAATGTGTATAAAAAAAGTGGAGTAATGTGGTGGATTTATGAATGTAAGGCACGGGTTGCTAGTCGTTAATGATGCTGAAAGCTGGTTAGCTGGCGTATGTACCTATACTTTGCATTTGTTGTGTTTAGCCATTCATCCTGCTAATGTTTTCATTACCTTAACACCTGTGGTGCCTCTAAGATACCGTGATTCATTATTTCATGCTGTCATTCCTGTCAAAGAAGAAGGAGGAGATCAGTAGTAACGACTGGATTTGATCCACCTCATAGGTTTTGAACTGTCAACATAGGTGTGAGTCATTTTTATAAAAACTCCAGATTATTTCGATCTGCATAATGTCATTGTGTATACCATATGCACAGCACTAATCTTATCTAACTTTTACACTTTCAAAAACCATAAGACCAGTGTTACTTTTACATGTTAAAGATGCCATCGGATTCATTTCACATAACAGAGTTCTTTATCATTATTATTATTTGTATTTTGAAGATTTGAACCAAGTTGTGAATGTCCCATGGAGGAGTGATGACGGTGAAATATAAAGAAATATTCTACACAAAAATCAAATAGCTTCACTCCGTACACTCCTCTTTGAAGACAACTGCTTCAGTATGAATGATAAGCATAAAGCATTATGAATAGTAAGTAGGTCGGTAATAGTGAAATAATGCATCAGTATCAGGCGTATGGTTAGACAGTAGTTTCTATCACGAACTTTATCAATAAAGTTTCAGGATTTCATCATGAGCTGACATTAGTTAGAGAACCATTGGAAAACCTGGGAGCACTGGACAGCTATTTCATCCTGGTTTGGGACTCTTCATAAGTACGCACTCACCGGAATTCGGAGCTCCGATTGTTGATTGATGGTCTGTTGGGAAGTACAAGTCTTTGTTTACTGCATTACTTGCTAGTACTAGTAAATTTTATACAGGAAGGAATAGCTTCAATTAGCATTATTACTTATATCTTAAAAAACAAACACTTAGGTAGATCACTAACAGATCAGAAAAAAACCAACAGCAGTTAACTAACCCTGTAAATTGAAATTAAGGCACAAAAATTAAAAATTCTTTTATTTCCGCATATGACAGAATTTATAAGACTCCTTCCTAATGATTATATTTGTAAGTACCTCATAATTTTATGTATCCCAAACGTTACATAAGACAAGAAAAACAATGTCTTTGTGTATATAAACATTTAAAAAGTCTAAATTTTTTTTCTAAAGGAAAGAATTCATTGCTTTAGTGAGTACTTTGAGGGATAAGTACAATTTTTGGATGAAGACTTCATAAATTTCAAGTTTTCATTAACATCTTTAAAATGATATTTGCATGATAAATCCTAAGTGTCCTGTTGAGTCCAGCATAATTAATATGTGAAATTTCATGAAATTCAATCATCTTTTATATTAATAGTCAGATACCAAATGAATTTTAAGATATGATTGTAACAAATAAATCTAGTTGAAAAGTAATCAGCAAAGTGAAGTAAACAGGAGGGAAAAGATGTGACGTAAATTTATAAATTGGCTTAAATGAGTTATTTTCCTTCAAATGAATCATAGTAAACTAAATTGGAAACTTCTGTATGCTTTTGTTAAAAAGCTTATTAGCTAAAAAATATACTATCCGATATGCTAGCATGCAGGATAATATTTGCCAAAATAATTAATTAAAAGAGTCTAGAAATTTCCTTGTAGTTAATTTCTGGTTAATAGCGCCAACATTCACATGATTTAACAAAGAGAGATACTGTACAGATTATCTACTTATTCTGATATGATTTTTTATAGTTTAAAAAAAAAGTTAATGACAATCTCGGCTACCAGAATATTCTGGTTATCTTTTGTATGTAGACTAATTACTGTTCGATACAAGTGCTATCCAGCTAAAGCAAAAGTATACGTGTTTGTTCAAACAAAGCGTGCTTGTTTCCGGAGATTCACCACTTGACTTTCTAATAATTGTTTGTCCTTTTGAAAACTTATAACAGATACCTATTGTCATTCCAATAAGTGTCAATAGCTTAGTGAACAAAAGCGCAGTGGAAAACCATCGTTAACGTGTACCTCAGGTGGTTCATCAGACTATATTATCGAAATCGATATCGACTGGACTAAAACTTTCCCTTAAGCAACTGAAAATTCTAATAATTTCCGATTCATAATATTTGCAATGCACTGTTTAGAAATCCCGTATTATTTTGGTTCACGTTTACACTACGCATTCCTGTAGTGTTCATAGTTAGGTCTACCACAATATACTGACTACGTTTCGAGCACAGTATACTTCTCATAATCATATCAAGGGACTCACATAACTTTCAGATGTTGTCTACATAGTTTCATCCTCCCTCATCATTCGATTTTGCTGATAACAGTTTCCTCTTATATCCGGTATTTGGTGTTGCATCACTCCTACTGCATATGTTTGGAATAGATTTGATGAACCAGAATTCAGTAACCAACTTCTTTCTCCAACTAAACGTTATAGTCAACAGTTTTACTACTATTTCTTGTTTTATCGTGAGTTTTGTTGAACATTCTGGTTATTTAGCAATAATTCATCTTCAGTCTGTTCGATTTTCTTATTCAGTCTTTCAGGCGTGCGCTACTTAGAATCTTCGCCAAGTTGTTTAAGCACTTCACTTATAAGGGATAGGTTTGGTAAGAGTCTAAATAACTACTAGATTCCGATGGCTATTCATAAATACTGGTTTATGATTTTCATTCTGTTGGTTTTGTTTTACAATCTGGCATAACTGATTCTCGTTCTTTTTACTATATGCTATGTGCAGTACCACAGTGTGCTATGTCAAATAAAACTATTATGTTAGAGAATCCTCATCAAGCAACTAGTCTGTGTTTTGACAACTAATTTGTTGTAAAACAGTGCATTAAAGATCTTGTTGTAGAATAAATGTCAAGTCTTGTTTCGACTGAAGAAGCGACATATTTAAAGAGAAAAAGAGTCCTCTATAGTTTGCAAATAAATAATTTAATTGATATGGTTGTGTTCTCTGAGCTGGATGGTTAATTTGCGAAGCTTTCATCGCCCTACTAGGCAACATCTTCAGCGCATACTTCGATTTGAAGATGTCGCCTAGTAGGGCGATGAAAGCTTCGCAAATTAACCATCCAGCTCAGGGAACACAACCACATCAAAATCATCCACCTGAGCTACAAATCTACTCTATCATATCTAAATAATTTAATTAACTAAGTGGAAGTCGACATCTGTGTATTGATCTGAATGAATATTTATATCACTGGTGATAATCACACTGAAGCTTGTCACCCCGTAAGCCGTCGCCTTCACCGTTTTAGCCTTGTAAACTGGACCACAGGGTAACAACTGCCAGTCAACCTGCCTACGGATAAAGGATATTTCGTGTGATTAATTATAGTATTAGAAATATAGAACTGTTGTATGGTTTAATAAAAAGTCAAAAACTTCAAGGAATACGGAGTTATCCCGTTGACTGTCTGGTAGCTTTAATCATTTAGACGAAGTAAGTTCCAACTAGGTGATAAAAAACCCTCGGCAATGGTTCAAGATATTGATTGACTGATGAATCAATGAGGACCTTGGAAGCTATGTGCATTAGTGTAAGTGGTGACTCTGAATAACCACACATAATATAACGGAACAAAATCTCAGTGATATTACAATGAATAGTGGACAGTCTCATAGACAGTAGTAAATGATTTTTCATATTTCATCGATGATTGGAATCGAATACATTTGCACTTCTATAACGTCATTTCGTATCTCCAATAATTGATTCCTAGTATAATGAAGACATTGATGGCTATTAAATCTGATAGCTCAGTCAATGGAACATCAAAATGACAATTTGGAGGCTGATGGTTTGAATCCTGCCTCAGTTCAAGTTGTTATTTCAACTTTAAATATCATCTGATTATATAAATATCAACTTGCCAATCTCATTCACTCTTATCTACAGTTAGGAACAAAATTTGCATAATTTACTGGAAGCTATTAAAATAATTCAACGCAGTTGACATCCGCTTATGGCATAACTGAGCTTTAAAAAAATCTGCTCAAAAGGGTAACAATGAATGCATTATTATTATTATTTTTTATTATTGCTCCCTTGGGTTCCTAGTGGAACATAGGGCTTCAACTGCACGTCTCCATTTTCTTCTGTCTTCTGCTATACTTTTCGCCTGCATCCATGTTAATCCATATTCTTTCAACTCCTCTTCACACGATCTCCTCCATGTCACCCTTGGACGTCCCACACGCCGCTTCCCTTTCGGGTTCCACTCGAGGGCTTGGCGCGCGATGTCACCCAGCGGTCTCCTCAGCGAGTGTCCGATCCATCTCCACTTTCTCCTGCATATTTGTTGGGCGATTGGTTCTTGCTTTGTTTGTTCCCATAATTCCTTGTTGGTGATTCTTTCCGGCCATCTGATCTTCAGTATTGAGCGAAGACAGTTGTTAATAAAGGTCTGCAGCCTTTTGGAAATATTCTTTGTGACCCGCCAAGTTTCTGATCCGTATAGAAGAACTGACTTTACGTTTGTATTGAAAATCCGAATTTTGTTGGTGATGCTGAGTGACGAAGATTTCCAGATTGATTTCAGGCTGATGAATGTGTTTCTCGCCTTCCCGATTCTCGATTTGACATCCTCGTCCGCTCCTCCTGTAGTTGAGACAATGCTCCCTAGATAAGTGAATGAAGTAACCTCTTTCAAATCCCTCCCGTTGATGGTGATTGACGTTGGATGTTGTTGCTGTTGTTGGTTGGTTATTTTCATAACCTCCGTCTTGTCTATGTTTACCTGGAGTCCTGTCTTTGCTGCTTCTTCGACCAGTTTGTCGGTTTTCGCTTGTAAGTCTTCGATTGTGTGTGACATCAAACATAAGTCATCCGCGAAATCCAGGTCTTCTAGGTTCTTCACGTCGGTCCAGGATATTCCTGTCTTCTCGTTTCCCACAGTCTGACGCATAATCCAGTCCACCACAATTAGGAATATCATTGGTGATAGTAAGCACCCTTGTCTGACTCCTGTGTTTACTCCAAACGCCTCGCTGAGTCTTCCGTTGTGGATCACTTGGCAGGTGCCGTTGTCGTACAGCTGTTGAATAAGGTTGATGAATATTTGGGGTACGCCATAGTACTCGAGTAATTTCCAAATTACTTCACGATCAACGCTGTCGAAGGCCTTCTCAAAGTCTATAAAGTTGAGGTAGAGGTTTGATTGCCATTCCATGCTTTGTTCTGTGATGATGATGCGTAGAGTTGCAATTTGGTCAGTACATGATTTGCCTTTCCTGAATCCAGCTTGTTCTGGTCGGAGTTCTGTCTCCAGTGCGTCCTTTAATCTCTCCAGGATGATGCGACTCAGGATTTTACTTGGCGTCGATAGGAGCATGATTCCTCGCCAGTTCTTGCAGAGTCCTAAGTCGCCCTTCTTTGGTAGTTTCACGAGGTAACCTTTCCTCCAGTCAGTAGGCACCTTTCCCTCCTTCCAGACCTTTTGCAATAATGGAGTCAGCATGTCTGCTGTCGTCTCTGGGTCTGCTTTCAGTGCTTCAGGGGGTATTCCATCTGGTCCGGCTGTTTTTCCAGCTTTCAGAAGTTTGATTGCATTCAAGACTTCAGCTCTCGTTGGAGGATTGGTGTCAACTTGCAGTTGTGTGTGCGCTGTTGTTGGTATTTCTGGACGGGTTGCAGGTGATGGTCGGTTCAAGAGTCCTTTGAAGTGATCCGCCCATTGTTTAATCTGTTTTTCTTCCTTGGTAATTGGGTTCCCTTGGCTGTCTTTTATAGGTTTCGCTTGTGTTGGTCTCTTCCCGGATAGAGATTTGGTTATCTGATATAGTGTCCTCAGGTCCCTTTTGCCTGCTGCCTTTTCAGCTTCAGTAGCTAGATTGTCGTAGAATCGTCTTTTGTCCTTCCTAGCACTCTTCTTCACTTCTTTGTCCAATGCTTTGTAAGTTGAGCTCATCGTCTCCTTCTCCTGTCCGTCCTTGCATTGAATCATTTTCTCTTTCACCATTCTCCTCTCTTCTATTAATTTCCAAGTGTCCGTTGAGAGCCATTCCTTGTCTTGTCTCTTCTTTCTTCCTAGAACCGTTGAACACGTTTCGTTGAGAATCGCCTTCAGAGACTTCCAATGTTCTTCCACGCATGATTCTTCAGTGATGTCGCGTAGTGTTTCCTGCTTTGCTCTGACAGTTGCAGTGAAGGTGTCTTTTGTGGTTGTGTCCTTCAGTAATTGAGTGTTGAACTTGCATTGTGGCCTATCCCCAGCTATCCTCGAGGCTTTTAGTTTCACCTTGAAAGTCCCTTCTACTAGATAGTGGTCTGAACCCACATCTGCTCCTCTCCTTGACCTTGTGTCCAGTAGGCTCCGTCTCCACTTTCTTGAAATTGAGATGAAGTCTATTTGATTCTTGGTGTTTCCATCTGGTGAAATCCATGTCGTCTTGTGTATATCCTTGTGTTTGAACACACTACCACCAATCACCAAATCATTGAAGGCGCAGAAGTCTGAGAAGAGTTCACCATTGTCGTTCATTTCACCGATGGCCTCACGACCCATGGTGAGTTCTCTTCCTGTGTTGTCTCCTCCCAGCTTCGCATTCATGTCGCCCATCAGGATTTTGATATCGCCATTTGGGACGTTGTCCATTACTGCTTGTAGTTGTCTGTAGAACGCCTCCTTCTTCTCTTGTTCTGAGACGTTTGTAGGCGCATAACATTGAATGACTGTAACTTTCCTTCCTTTTGAGTTGAACCTGGCTGTCATTATCCTGGAGGAGATTGGTTCCCACTGCATGAGAGCTTTGGTTGCTGTTGGTGACATCATGATGGCCACTCCCTCGGTGTGCTCATGGTTGTCCTCTAGGTGGCCGGAATAGATTACTGTCTCTCCAGTAGGTAGTTGGCACCTTCCAGTTCCGTTCCATCTGCTCTCGCAGATTCCCAACACTTCTATTCTGTACCTTCTCATTTCAGCGGCTATCTGGGCAGCCTTTCCAGTTTCGTACATTGTACGAACATTCCAGGTACCCATCCTTACTTTTGCTTTCATCGAAAGAAGGCACATCGGCTGACTGGCTTCCCGAAGGCTTTCACCAGCCTGCGTCATTTCACTTCCCCGATTCCAGCGAAAAGTAAGGCTATTGCTTATGTTTTTAGAATTTTTAATATATTTATTCGTTGAAGTTTCTGTAGCGATTTGGTTGTTTTACAGGGGTGGAGTTGCTAGCACCACGCCCCAACCCTCCCTCTTTACCCGGGCTTGGGACCGGCGAGAAAACTAGTAAGCTAGTAGCCTAGCAAGCTAGTATCTGGCGAGGTTAACAATGAATGCATACGATTAGCTTTCCCTTCGAAATTTTATTTGTTAATTTTAATCAATTGTCCAATTGTTAGTTTATTGCAAGGTGTATGGGAGTGCATACATCATATGTCAGCCATAAAGGTTATATGCTATTTTATTATAGTTCTGAAGGCATTTATCAATGATTGACGACTAAGAGTACACAATGGGGTACAAATTTTAAAATTCGAAACAAATCAATAATGCATTTTGATTACTGAAACAAATTTTTACCTAAATGACAATTACAACTTACCTTCGAATTGAATGTGATAGATTTCCATAATTCATCTGTTGTGAAGCCATACTTTTGTAACAGAATTACAATGTATAAACCATCGAAACAATATTTGCCAGTAAAATCATACTCATTTTCTTCGGTCATTTTAGCTACCTGTAAAATAATAAAATAAAAATATAATTTACATTTATTATAATAACAGAATCGGAAAAGCAAGACAAGCTTTCATTACTCTCAAATCTGTGTGGAGGTCAACAGCACTCAGCATCAAAAATAAGATCCGGATTTTCAACTCCAATGTGAAGTCAGTGCTACTATACGGATCAGAGACTTGGCGAGTCATAGAGAGCATCTCAAACAAACTTCAGACCTTCATTAACAGCTGTTTTCGCTCAATACTCAAGATCAGATGGCCAGAAAAGATCAGCAACAGGGATCTCTGGGAGCGAACCAATCAGGAACCGATTGTGAAACAAATAGGCAGGAAGAAATGGAGATGGATTGGCCATACTCTGAGGAAACCATCAAGTGACATCACTAGACAAGCCATCGCTCGAGTGGAACCCGAAAGGGAGGCGGCGAGTTGGTCGTCAATGCAAGGGTGATTTGGAGGAGGTCATGCGAGGAGGAGATGAAAGCATGTGGACAGACCTGGAGCGGGTTGAAAAAGTTGTCAGAAAACAGAAGGCAACGGAGGTGCGCAGCTGAAGCCCTATGTTCCTCTAGGAACTAAAGGATACAATAATAATAATAACAGTGTTGAATGACTAACTATCAGCTTGAGTGTTTGACCAGTAGAAACCATCGAACCTCATTGAAAACATGATGATCTCAAGTTGCGACACTTCGTGAACGGTAAAATGCGTATTTAGGTCTTGACGTGACCGATAACAGAAATACTAGCTTGAGGGAAAGGCACATTCGAATTTCCTAGTATACCCCAGAATGCTTGTGCCTCGAAAACATGGGCTTTTTCAAAAGCTGTAATCATCAGACACTCAAAAGACAGTTGAGACTTTGAATGATATCATTGTCATAGAAAAGTACTATATTTATGTGATCACTACACATAAAAAAGAATAGTGTGTTAAGCTTCAGATTGTCTTGGTAACTGCTGTTTGTTTTCTTCATGACATCTTTCCCTTTTACTTTAACCCTTTACCTTCTTTCTTTGAATCAACTTTACTATTTATTACCTTTTCGGATTTCTCCTTAATTTTACATTTCAAAATCCCAGTTGAGTCCTATACAAAAAAGACTTTTAGTGAAGAGATCCTCATTCCAGCGATATCATTCTCAAGCTGTAAAAGTGCATATATATATATATATATGATTTTCTCAGCAATAAAAGGAATATTTCCAAAGATGTGTCATTAGGGTTGTAAGTTTTACATTTTAAAAAATTATGTAATATTGAAATCGTTAATCGGGTAGAAACCAAAATAAAATAAGTAATTTGAGTGACGGAATACAACTGACGGGACTAAGTAGAATCCCACTAAAACTGAGTGAGAGTCAAACTAACAACAGTGGTAATAAGGGGTAGAAACTTGATAGGGGGTGAAGGGTAAAAAATAATACAACTAAAAAAGACAAAAACAAAAATTACTTAGCCAGCGTGAAGACAAATCAGATCCACTGTAGATTTAGAGACTGGACAGATTTCTTCAATACGCAGAGTTTGGGATTTAACATGTGAATGTGGGAAGTTTGCTACAAGGAAACTATTCTAAGGTATTTAATACTTGACTTAGTTTCTATTTCAGTGTCCTCTAGGCTACAAGCATCATGTGAACGGATTAATTCGTTTAGACCACTTTTATGCCTGAAGGTGAAGTTAACTGCCTGACATTTGAAAGCATTTAACGTAAGACCATTTAAATTAGACCAGTGGCTGATGTTAAACAAAAAGCTATTAAGTTTGGAACAATTAAATAGGGAAGTGACTGGCAACGAGACAGTCAGATCATAAGTATATTTAATGAAACTTATTTCGTCCGAAAGGCACAAATGGTGTACGAAGAAACAAAAAAGAGCCTTCAGAGACACTGGCTTCAGTAAACAAGGGAGAAGATTTGCCTTACATGCAACATGCTGCATCCTGACAGAAAAATAAGAATGCGACCAGCCTAGGACTTGATTTGTATCACGAAAAGCTTGTTTAACAAAAGACATTTAGGTACAGAGTCATAAGCGATTGCGTATTCCAGGAAGGTACATAGAACATATTTGACTCCTTTATCTAAACAGCAAATAATGTGGTGACATAAGACAGCAGCAGTATCTAAAGTACATTCATCCTGTTTACATGCTAACTATTTAGGGTCATTAGAACTTTTGAAGGAAGGCTAAAGGTTGAGTAAACTTAATTTTTCCATCAATTCCAAAAAAGGAGAAGTAATTGCAATATGTCTAAATTCTACATTCACACCAGTATATAATTTATTTATCAGGATAATTTTAATGTCTTTTCATGTGTCAAGTATAACATTACTGGAAAATGAAACACTGAAAATGTTCGTAAGGATAATATAAAATATCCATACATATTCTGAGGACAAGAGCTGGTATACCATGGGGACCAAGGCTTTGGGTAGGTTTTAAGGATTCGAGACATTTGAGAATATGAAGAGTATTAAAATCATGAAAGTTATCATCTCTACCATTTGTAACATCGGGGATGATAACATTGACTGAAGAGCATATGAAAGACTCATTAAGAGTATCTACATCAAAAGATGGGACAGTAATACTTTGCTTACCACCAGCAATTTCGTTAAAAAGCCTGCAAATGCCTGAGGCGGTTTTACATGATAAAAGTCTGGCTACGTAATATATTCGGACATGCGTTTCAGATTTGATTAGTGTTTATCCATTTGAGACCAGATCTATCGGTGGTCTTGTATAACCGTTCATTTTTCTCTAGGAAACTGTTTGCGATGAGGAGAAAAGAAACAGTCAAATCTTATGAATAGTGTTTGTTTCGGGCAACAAATTTTGAGGCACAGTTTAAGATAATTAGTTCTGTTAATAGGAGAGGTTAAACTTTAAGCACCAGTAACTACCAACCAGCGAATGACCTTGAACGCGCCAATCACATGAAGAAGACTGTTTCTGGGTATAAAATACATATATATTCATGAAAACAATGTAAAAAATTGTTACACAGGATACCCTTCTCTGACATATGAAAAAATAACTTTCAGTTTTCCATAAGACCATCAATAAAAAGTTAAACCAATTTTCCCTACATGTATTCATCTACATGACGGTCGAATTAAACGGAATGAAAGCCTCAACTCACATGAAGAAACTCGTCAGCCCATTGAAGGTCATTGTAGCAGTAGCACTCCATTGGTAGGTTCTGCTGTCTAAGGTTTAACTTTACCTTTTAGTGATTGTTTAATCTAGAGTACGTTCAGCGAATAAGTCCTAGTCAGTGCCCTTCAACACGCATCTGAGATCATGTGCATTTTGATTGGATACTAGTAACTAGTGCGATGTGTCTAGTCCTGCAGACTGAATTCTATCAGTCAGGTTTGCAATGTGGCCACCATTCTAGGCAGCTTGCCATCACGGTGCACACTGGTTTGATGATATTAGATAGCTGGAGGCGATCGGCTGGAAGCCTTGGACCTAGGTTTCGTGCTAGTTGGCACTCGTCAGCAAGGTGTATCTGCAACCTCGAAGGAACTTATGACTAGACGCGTCGCACTAGTTACTAGTGTCCAATCAAAATACCCACTACAGTCCTACAGGAGATCAATCGCGAGCCCGTATAGCTCAGTGGTAACATCTCAGACTGCAGCAATGGGTGACGCGGGTTCGAATCTCAGAAGGGACGTGAGCTCCTTCAAGGTTGCAGATACGCCTTGCTGACGAGTGCCAACTAGCACGAAACCTAGGTCCAAGGCTTCCAGCCGATTGCCTCCAAATATCCAATATCACCAAATTATGTGCATTGTTTGATGAGTAACATCTCTGTTGAGTTTTCTACGAAAGGTTGGAGTTATACTCTACCACAGTGCCCAAGTCTTATACTTATATCAAGACGACACGATATATTTTAGGCAACACTCGTATAATGCAATGATCAAAGTTTAGTACTGGAGCACGTTCGCGTGCTTCATATATTCCGTCATCATTTGTGAACACTAGATTCAGTGTTTTGTCAAGTCAAGTGGCGAAGCTGATTCAAGGAAAGAGCAATCACAGGAATTGAAGTTTCTTGTCACTACTGATAGAGTTCTCGAGACAAACAGCAGTAACTGGTGACAGTAAACTACGGTTTGAAGTCATAATTTGATACGCAAAAAGCAAATAAAGGACAAGAAGTTCGAAGTAATATGTTAGATGGTAGGTTTGGTAGCCTAACGTTCAAATATGCTGCATTAGAAAGATAAAACATGGCTTATTTGAGGCTTATTTTATAATGTTAATCGGATAGCTTTATATGACTCATTCACATCTGATTGAAAACCTCAGTGAAGTAAATTACGTGGTTGAACAGTGAACTTATAACAAGTTGGTCCTTGGTTTGAATACTTCCAGAAGTCAGACTTTTATCTCAGCTTCAATTATCACCAGTTATATAAACATCAATTGGACAATATCAAACAATTACATCTCCCTCTGAGAGAAGTCATGCGTAGCTGGATATATCCAGTGTAAATCTTTTGTAGAAGAAATATGAACATATCTACAAGACAGTGATGTAATTAATCATCATTAACTTTAATCGAATTCTCGATATTAACTATAATAATGATAATAATAACTGAAGGTAAGGTGGTCTCCTTCATAACACATTCAAATCTAGTCATTGGCCAGAATTAATTTTTTAAGCATAACATGCAAAAAATATAACACTTAACGCTACTCACTTCTGTCCATGGTTTTCGACAAAACTCCTTAACTGCTGAAGTGACTTCTGACAAAGTGAGTCCTGTATTCCTCTCAGGGAATAGATAGTGCATTACGTATGAAAATCCAGCATATGCCTAAAGTGAAAAGAAAAGGAGAAATTTGTTAATAAGTCAGTAACACTTTGAAAGCATTTAGTTATGATTTAAGACAAACATTTTTAAAGCAAAATATGACAAAATCGGTTTAACCCATACGAATTCAATGTCACTAAAACACCTGTTGCAGGGGACTTTATTAGTGATCAAAGTTATTCAAAAAAAACAGTAATTTATTTGATAAAAATTACATTTTCGTGTTATATGTTACCTTTCGTTCTTCGAACATTAATCATTAAAGTGATTCCGAAAATACAATTTAGTATGTCAAGAGTTAATCATTGAAATATTATTTATTGAAAACAAACAAGATTTGTCATTCACTAAGTGGAATACTCTGAATACTCCTACTAAGTTTTGGAATTGATAGTGTTCTCTGAGCTCCTTGGTTTAATTGCGGAGCTTAACCAAGGAGCTCAGAGAACACTATCAATTCCAAATCATCCACCTGAGTTACAAATCTTTTCTATTACTCCTACTAAGTATTTGCTAATTTAAACTCATGACAGTATCAGATTTTGATGAGTATAAATCTTTATTTGAAACAACTGAGGATTAAAGTATTGATCGCGGATTGACTTCGGTCAGAGAACCATTAGAACCAAGGGGTACCGAAAAGCTGTTTTACTCTAGTCCGAAACTCTTCATTAGTAAACACCTACGAGGGATTAAACCTAAGACCTCCAAGTTACAAGGCGACCTCATATACCCATCAGCCAATGTGACGGAATCTAATAGTTCATATGTTCCAACTTCATGCAAATCAAGATATTTAGAACGATCACCACCCAATGTTATCGTGGAGTACTTATCCTCTAACCAACTTAGTGGACCCTGCTGATCACACCTTCTCACAAGAACTCCAGGCAATTTCATCTTGTAACCGGTCACTACCGAGCATCAAATTAATCCTCAAGAGCTAGTTTTTGGGGATTTAACTTTTTTCAAGTTTTGATGAGGATTATTTTTAACACAAATATAAAAGATGCGGTTATCTTATCTTTCACAGAAATATGAAAAGGATAGTGGATTCTAAGCTTTACTGGATAAGCAACATAAATATAACAAGAAATAAAATCAGTTTTCTATATAGCAAAATAAGCCACTATTGCCAGATGGCATAACAATGAAAAATTACTTGACCCATGTCAATTCTAACAAAATATAAATACGTTTAGTATCAATGCACAATATTTCAAATGAATCAGTAATCCATAAACTGATTTTCACAAAGGACACGTAATCCCTTACAACCACTGAGTACAGCATCATCAAATTATCTAAACAACTTTGATATCATCTTTCTGTACTGGTTATTAGTGAAATCTTCTGTGGTTCAGAAGATGCAGTAACTCTTAATATTGTTGAATTTGAATTTGTTTTGTGGCTTACAGAAGATAAACTGATGCTTTCCTTTGAAACTTGACTGGTTGCGCGCAAACATAATTCCTTCGAAACAAAATGGCATCATAACGACCAACTTCAGGAAAAATGGCACCGGATATGCCTGTCGAACTACCCTAAGATTTGCGACTAATGCACACTCTTTACTATATGAAAATTCATGTTACAAGACTTTATATTTTGTAGTCATCATTTTGAAATCCATATTGTACCAAAACTCCTACTTTTAAGCTTCTAACACATACAGTACAATCAATTCACTCAAAATTTAAGCAGTTGACAATAAAAGTTAATTTATTTACTAGTTGATCCTTAGAGTCCCCTAAATGATTCAAGATGTTATCCGAAGCTATACTATTCAAACAGCTAAAGAGAGTGAACTAATTAGGACAATTCTGTAGCGCGCTTGTCGAGATCACACTGATATCGGTGGCATTATCTCACAGGCTGATAAGAGAAGGAGAAGCTTAGCTCTCTGGATTTTTTAGGATAAAATATAAGAACAAAATACTAGTCAGTCAATCAAACAAAACAGTCTTAGATGGTTAACAGATTTCAAAACAATACTATATAAATGCATTTGAACACTTATTTATGTAATGACACGCTTCGGTCAAATAGAAATGAAAGTTAATAACTACTCATGAATTTTAGTCAACACAGAACTAATCTAAATTGTCTCTAACTTGTCAAGTATTTAAATCCAGGATTTAAAATTTTCTCTTTGATTTTCATACTTTTTCAGATGTTTTATTCACAACTCATTTTTATTGCTTCTCAGTGCGTCGGTAGTATAGTGGTTAGGACGCTCGCCGACCATGCACATGGTCCAGGGTTCGATCCCCGGCCGACGCACTCCTTTACCTCGCTGAGGCAGATATAATTCTGGCAAAGAGGAAAGGTTGGGCATGAGGCCTAGCAACCCCATCCTGTAAAATAAACACCGCTACAGAAACTTCAAGCCACTAGCTTGATGCCCTATGTTCCACTGGGGAACGTGAAGGAAAAATTATATAAAAATTATAGGCTCCTAGGTATTTTTGATGGGCGATTTCATTTATTCACATTAAAAGCACTTTGTTTGTCAACAAATAACCTATTTGTAAGTATGTTCAACACTATCGACTTGAAGGAAAGTCTTTTAGCTTAATTCTTCGATGTACTTAGGTAGAATATATAGTGAATACTATCCAATCACTAGAGTATATTCCGTATAACGTTTAGGTTTACTTGTATTTTAGATTGTGATAAACGCATAAACTGAATATTACTCAGTTTACCTTCATTGTGCATAATTTCGATGAAACATAAAATCTTTTACACAAAACAAATTTATGTATGTTTGTAACTGAATTTAATGTTGATGAAAGAAGAGATTCGGATATTTTCTTTCCCGGAAAACAGAAGCTGTATTTTAGTGGGTTAGTATCTCGTATCAGTATTACTGTTATTGATTGCTTGAGTTCAAGGTGGAACGTGGTGTTTCAGCAACACATCTCCATTGCATTATTTTCTCTGCGGCCACTTTCAACAAACTGGACAATTGTCAATGAGATTCCTCTCCCTCTCCACATGATCACTGCTATATCAATCTTGGACAGCCAACCCATCACTTCCAATTCGGATTTCACTCGAGGGCATGCCTCATATGTGACGTCACCTAGCAGACCCTTCGGTGTATTTCCAGTCCACTTTTGTTTCCTTCTACATGTTTATTGAGCAATAGGTTGTTGTCTGGTTCTCTGCCTGTCATAGTTCTTAGCTGCTTTTTCTTTTTTGGAAGAACTCTCTTCCTGTAATGTCCACTGTCAACTTGATATTCACATCAACCATTGAGAGTTTGATATTGTCATTTGGTTTCGATCTTCTCCATTATTGAGTGAAATCGGCTGTAGGATTGAGTAGTTGTGACTCAATCTTGCTGCTATTATTCTGGAGGGGGTTGATTCCCACTGTATGGGAGATTTTGGTACTGTTGGTGACATCATGATGACCACACACTCAGGGTGATCGTAGTTGTCGTCTGAGTGACCGAAGTAGTTTATTGACGCTTTACATAACAATTTGGCAGGTCCGCTTCCATTCCATTTACTTTTACAGATTCCTGGCACTTCTGTACTATATCTTCTCAGTTCTTTTACCATAGGCATTCCTACCGGCGTCCAACAATCATTATATTTCTTGACCTAAAGGCAGCATTCGATTCTGTCCGCCGAGAGGTTCTCAGGCGATGCTTGGCTATAAAGGGAATTCCGAGAAAATACATTGAACTGCTTAAGGCACTCTACTCGTACTTATGCAGCCAGGTGAGCGCTTACGGCGAGTTGTCATCTGAACTAGTGACGACTAGTGGTATCCGTCAAGGATGCCCATTACCCCCATTTCTATTCAACTTCATCATAGAGATGCTAATGGACTTAATCCTAACTCACTTCAGCGACTCAGGGATTGACTTGCTACCAGGGAATAATCTCGTCGACTTAGAATATGCAAACGATATAGTCCTTCTAAGCGAGGACGCTGACAAAACGCCGAGTCTTCTGAACACCTTGAGCTGCAACCTACGAATGTTTGGCATGCGATTCGCTCCCGCCAAATGCAAGATGATGTTACAGGACTGGACTACACCGGCTCCCAGAATTGAAATTGGGTAGTGAAGTGTTAGAGCACGTTGACCGCTCCACTTATTTGGGAAGTTGCATCCGCCCCAATAGGTTGATCTCTGACGAAATCTCAGCACGGATACGGAGGGCTAGTATCGCATGTGCCAGTTTACGCCGTTTCTGGCGTAATATCTGGTGTGATATCCGACTATCGACCAAATGGTGGGTGTACTGCTCATCAGTCCGCTCCTTCCTCCTTTATGGCTGTGAAACCTGGCCATTGAAAGTGGAAGACATGAAAAGATTACCTGTCTTTGATCATAGGTGCCTGCGTTCTATCTCCCGTGTGTGTTAAGTGGTATAATAAGGTGAGCAATATTGAAGTGAGGCTTCGGTTGAGTGTTAGGTAAGGAGGGGAAATCATTCGACGAGGTTGTGAAGTTACATCGACTGAGATGGTTAGGACATGTGTTACGTATGCCTAGTCATTGCCTTCCTCGACGGGCAATGTTAGCTGATATAGGGGTCAGGCTGGAAAAGAGCTAGTGGCGGTCAAACCAAAACATGGCACCAGTCAATGAAATCTACAACAGTTAGTTTAAGCCACGTAGGAAGATGCAGACTTCCTGGCTTGGGTCCTCGGGACGGTAAAAACCAATGCTTGGAAACAATTGGTGACATGGCTCAAAATCGTTCTCAATGGCTAGTGCAGATGCATCCACTCCTTGTGATTTATGATTTCCAATGAAACTGTTTTGTTCTTCGTTACTACTATTCCTTTGTCTCACACCTCTGTTTACTGTCTCTAATATGCATTTCTTCTACTTTCTTCTCTTGCTTTGTGTGCTACATGGAGTGTGGCGACTTGAACTTCGGCACATATGTGCAAAGTTCTATATCGAAAACAGACAGACTTTTACCATCTGGACAGCTTTGCAAGCCTCCGACATGGTTACAGCATTCTATATTGCTATGCTTACTAATTTTTTTATCAAGAGAAGACAAGTCAGCTGACAGAATTCCCAACGGCTTTCACCAGCCCGCATCATTCTGTCTCTTCGATTCCGGCAAAGATCAGGTTCATTTTTCATATTATTTCTTTGCTTTGAAGTTTCTGTAGCGATGGGGGTGGTTTGCGGTGTAAGGACCTCAGCACAAGGCCCAACTCTTTTCTCTTTAACGATATAAGAACCGGTGAGTAAAACGTAGGCGAGGTTCCTTCTACTAATTTTTAGCTTCATTACTTAATCGAATCTATTTCTAAAACCATATCAAAACATAAACTAGCAGCAAAGGGGTAGTAAAAATATGTTTAATGGGCGATGACCGAAGGTTAAATGAAAAAAAGGGAGCTGCAGGTTTTAAAATAACAGCTTCCAAATTATCGGTGGCACAAGACTAAAACTTGTACACTATGGTAGAGTATAATTCCAGTACGGGTAAAATTTATTTTGACAAAGTCTCACAGTGTTATACAGTAATATTAACTGATGACGTTTCGAGCACAATTTATTGCTCATAATCATATCAGGGTACTCACACAACTTTCTAACTTCGTTTATATAATTCCATTATTTTCTATCGCTTGATGTGATTGGTGGGGCCCTTGAGTGGTAAGATGAGAGTCCAACGGTGTTTACCCTGACCTTCTATAAGGTCATCAGGGATATAATCATCCGAAATTTTCATGTCATATTATGTCCTTCTCATTCTTTTTCGCTTAGTTTACTTCACTCATTATTATTATTATTTGTGAAACTTTGTGATTAACAATGAGCTTATGATGTTTCTAGTATTTGATTACAGTTAACAATTTTAACCACTTTATTTTAGCATTACACTTGTTATCTGACCTTACATTTAATGTAACTCATTGGTTTGTGTATACTTTGTATTATTCATATTTCTCTCACAACAATGAATATAACTTAACACTCCTCTTCAGTGAAACTTATATTCTGTTAACTATAAATACACTAGAATGTCACTCAACTGTCTATTCACACTTTATCTTACGTCCTAAATGACTGTGCATTTTATATACATTCAAACGGCAATGTTAACTAACTCTTATACATGTACCCTAATAAATTTTATGGCATAAATTTCATTTGCCTTTACTGGCTATTTGTATTCTTGGATTTTTAACTGTAGTACCTGAAGAACGTATGAAAAACAATAGTCGGTTCACAAATCATGTTATTCTGGTTACTCTACGGAGAGCATATTTAATTTATAATTTAGAAAAGCAAGTGAACAAAAAGTACATCTTTAAATATTCTTTGTAATATTGATGGTTAAATTTTAAGCATATATTTTGTTCTGTAAATTATTTTGCTATAATTCAGAAAGTGGATGGCATTTATACAAAATTACTTAAGTATGTTAACTGATATTCATTGGGAAATACAAAAAAATTATTATAATGAATATCATATACCTAATGCCCAAATTTTTTCAAACTGTTAAAAGTGAACTTAGTTTGAACATATGTAAGATGTTAATTGATGTAGGAAGATAATCATAGAATCATTTCTCCATTCACTTTGATATCATTTACAATAAAACTTACTAAAAACTTTCCTGAAGGACGTGGCTGATAAACGTTGTTAAATGAACATAAGGAGTAATTACAGTCATTTTTAAAATGTCTTTCCATATGTTGAATACACTCGTCAGGTTCACCTGTACCCTCGAAGGAAAATTCTTTCATATACTGAGACGGAAAACAAACAAAGAAATGAAGTTTGAAATCATCACTCAATTTAGATTTCTAATAGAAAATAATCTGGTATGCAAAATGAATTCTTTTAATGAATCTGTTTGTACCCTTTCATAACTGTTTAATGTATAACTTGGTCAAATGAAGAATAAAGCAATAAGCAGACATAGAAATTTAAATAACCTCTGTTTGAAACCACAGATTTTTATTAGTCATGCCACATAAATTAGGTGCGAACTGTCTTGAAACCAGAACAATGTGAAGAAAACAGGCAGATTTGCACACGATTTTTAGAAATAGGGAAATAAACTGTAACTACTATGCATTACTGTGTGAATCCAGAATCACTCATCTCATTGCATACTAAATAGTAGATACCATCCAATATAGTTGTCGAAAGGCGAATGTGTAAAAATAAACCGTCAAATTTTAGAGCATATTATAACTTATGGACATGCAGTTTCAGCGGAGACTTCATTGGAATTCATATATGCAATAAGATCAGGCCAATCGAAAGAAAATCGTTAACATCTTTATGACGATAAAACTCCTGAAATCCATACGGATAAATTTGAACCTACTGTTTAGAAATATTTTATCCAGACGACTGTCAACCAACATGAAACTTAAGATAAGAAAACCTTGCTGTTCTAAGCGTTTTTCTTTTTTTCTTCAAGTTGGATACGTTTAGTTGGGAATCATTCATTGTCCTTCTGAACAGGGTTGACTTCATTTTGAAGTTTTCCAAAAGTCTAATCAAACATTCAGAAATAAACCAACCAGCAAAAAGAACACAAAAGCACCATAGCCGTCTACCTGAAATATTTCATTTCAGGATACTTCTATTAGCTGATTTCCTGTGCTTGATAAAACCATAAAATATTTGATTAGAGAATTCGGGTTTTATTTTGATTTGAACACGTGTAACCTTATTGTTAGGAATAAACAAGTATCGAAGCAAACAGATTCCAAACTATAAACAATGCATTAATGAATTTTATCAAGGAATATCAGATTTCGGTCATTAAATTATTTTAGAAATATTTAGATCATTACTTAATACATGAATTAAGTAATGACTTACAGAGGGTTGAAAGATTTCGTCATGAAATGTTTTTGTCACATAATTGCCTGTCATGCAACTTCCAGTGAACCAATCACTTGCATTATACTTTTCCGTTTTGTAACCTCGAAGAAGACAAGGATTAGGGATTTCAAACGTTTTCTTTGATCTGGCCTATAATCATTTAATTTTAGAAAAAAATATATTTCAACGATATAAGTAATTCAATTTCCAGAATAAATTTTTACTAGCAGGTAAATGATTTTCGAGTACAAAAAGGTATGAAATCTTTGCCGTTGATTCTCTCTTGGAAACGATCATCTTCTTAACATGAGATACAACGAAGATTGTATTATTTTTCTAGAGTTTATTTATAATCAAATTTTAATTATTCTCAGAATGTTAAAGTTATTATTGCAAGTTATAAAATGTATAACAGGTGTTTCCTCATTCAAAAGAAAGAAGTTTTAATTCGTTTTATATTGAAACAAGATATAGTCAGGATGTGAGGTTCAACACAGAATGGAAGTTTTCATGCATTCAAACTACTATTATATATATATATATAGTTCATTAAACATGGAATAATAAGAAAATTGTATATTTGAATAGCAGAATTAAAACGTTTTAGTATTTGATCATGAACATTTCGTCATCAGACTTGACGGCATATTGAGCATTTCAGTTAAATATATTTGAAGTAAAAGTCACAATTTAGGTGAGGAAAAGTGATGTTAACTCTTTTCTTGCAGCACAGCCTGAAGGATTTATGTCTGAATAGAAGTGACAGTCTCATCTTCATCCAAAATTACATTCACATGCAACTGCAGGTAAGCATTAACAATGGTTTAGAGATAATGAAGGGGAAAAATATTGGCATTGCTTGGTTGCTTTATCCAAACGCTATAAGACTTTCCCAATAGCAGCTATATTACTAAGAGACTAGTTCATTGACAAGTTACGTATTCCTTTAGGGCTAACATTAGTTTCTACAATTTCCTCTTCAAGTTAAATTTAATAGAATATAAACTAGTGTTTGGTACTCACTCTCACTAGAATTTACATTTCCCTGCTTATATATACTTTTCAATTTAGTATTTAGGTTGAAATATGTTATTTTTATGTTTTGTGACTATTTCGAATTACAGGCGGCACACAACACTGTTGATAGCCTCTGATTTGAAATAATACTTCAAGTCATAATAACAGGCAAAGAAAAAGTAAACATTAGAAATGAAGAAAGCTACTACCCGTCAAATCGATTTCACACTGTAGACAAAAAGACGTTTGTAACCGAATTTTAGGTTGTCAGCAGTTAGATTGTTATCTATATGTTTACCTTGAAAGAAATAGTTTTCAAGTATGAACTCCACGTTTATATGATGAAGAGTCTTTTTTTAAAAGTGATTTGATACATGTCTAAATTTCCACATAGAAAGTGTTTGGTGCTGCTGGTAGCCCACTACCCCTAATTCAAGAAAGAAGAAAGCAGTATTTTGTTTAATTTAATTTTGTATTTCCTGATGAAATAGAGGCTCCTAGTACGCATGCTTTGACGATGTCTGACGATCAACCATGGTATTGTTACTCGATAGACGAAATGAGCATCCTGGATTCCAATGCTAGTCACTACTTATCAAATAGCAAGAAAGAAAATAATTTTCTAATTTACTACACTGGAATTTTTTTTCAAAGAGGTTTTCACAGGTTTTAGTTTTGATGGATTACCATTTTGGGGCTTAGACTGCTTGACAAACGAAAAATAAAACCGAGGAATACGTTATCCTTTATTCAAGAAACTTCACAAACATCAGTTTTATACAGTGTTATTCCAAAAAAGGTTATATATGGTAGATAAATGTAAAATCTTATATTTTACATAGCTATTATCAAGTGTGATAACTTACTGCTATTGAAGTCATTAAACGCCTTTGAAATTCAGATTTTCCATAGCATAAGAAGCTATGACTGTATACCAAGAAATCATTTCCATATAATCTAAGCGGATAAAAATCTAATAATTCCTTAGGAGCATTAGGATAAGAATCGGGGATAAATGCTATTTGCGTACTAGCTCCACCAAGGTCCAAAGAGCCAACAGTATCAGTAGGTAATGTACGTTTCCCCTAAAATTTACAAAATAATCATATAGTAAATTCTAAAATTCAGAAGCTAAAATAAAGATGAATGTAGATGAAATTTAAAGCTGAAAAGATCTGGTAGTTGTTGCTAATCTAATTCACCAATTGTGAATTTGTTATTTTAAATCTATTATAAAAATGTTTAGGTTACTTCAATAACATGTTACACATACCACTCGTCTCCACTGCATTTCATTGAGAGATACCGTAAAATAATGTCGTATTATATACAAAGTTACATCGTACAACCCATGAAAGATAAATTTTCTCATCATAAAACTCTTGCAAAATGAGATTACACAACAGTGACATTAGAAGCTCAGTAAAGAAAACAAACATACTGTCTATATACAAAAAATGCATTTAACCCATGAATATTCATAGAAACAGTCTTATGTTGAATACATTTATAAAAGTGCTTTTAGTACTAAAGAAACGAATACATATTTTACTTTATAGGAATGATGAGTAAGAAGATGTTCATTTTCCTACAAGACTTTTGATACTTAGCTCATTAATTTCTTCATTTAAGTAACAGATACATAATTTCTAATCTGATTATGAAAGTTTGAGAGAATCATGTATTACATAGTATTACATGAACTGAATGGTACGGTAGGTGACGAAATAAATTCTGAATTCGATTAGGTTTAACTGTAGAAAATAATCGAGGATTCTCCAGTGCATAGATATCAGCTTTTTATGCAATATTTACATAAGAGATTAATGTTTCATACTTACCTCTTGTATATTACCTAAAATATTATTGACGGACACCCAACCATAAAGACCTTCTTCAGACCCATACAATAACCGTATACGTTCATTCGGTGTTTTGATTTGTAACCCAGAATGTAATAAATACTGCCGAATTACTGAAAATAAATCTAAACTGCCTAAAGGATCTTCAATTCTAGAAATAGGATGAAATAATACATGTAAAATAAATGAGAAATGAACGTTTCATTGATGAATTAAGTTTATCTTTGAATAATACTTGATTTATGTAGTGAATCAAAAGGATTCTTACTGGAGCCCTCTTAAGTATTTCAACAGTGACTAATTGAAATATGAATTTAACATGCCACAAAATTTTATTCTATCTAATGATACACCCCCTGTTACTGTATAAAAAGAAATATCACAGTGGTTTATCACTGAAAATTCGACCGACGAATTTCAATAAGCACTTAAGACCAGAAAAGTGATACCCAGCTATTGTACACAGAATGTCTGAACAGTTGTGACTCTATGATTCCGCTATTTGTACAGACCTAAATAATTAACTTCGTCAATTTTAAGGTTTTCCGTAACCACATACTTAGAATGAAGGTAATAATAGATGAGATTTGTTTTTTTTGTATTCTTATCATGTGTGTACATGAGTATACTCAAAAATGAATATATCACCTAGTTTAAAGAGGATGCATTTTAAAGTAACTCTATTTGTGGCCACTTTCTGTATAGTATTTTTTGAATAAGGTGAAAAAAGACCAAAACTGACTTTAATTAGATGTCCTTTAGAAAAAGCTACAAGTACAGATCTCTGTTTTCTTAATATAACTGCTTTTGTGTATAACTTTGAAGCTCCTCCACTACTACTGTCCTGGCCTTCAGTAGAGACTATAAATTCATGAATTTGTATTATTATCTATCCTAATTTTTCTGACATTCAGTTTATTGTTATGTTGATGCTATTAAACTGTAATCCATTGATATTATTGATTCGATGTTATGTAAAGATTAATATTGTTAATAACACTAATTCATTCACTATTATGTATATATAACTATGGAATCTGGTGATGAAGTTATCGGAAAGAGTATTCTTTGTTCAGTAACCATTCTTTTAAAAATTTTAATGGGCATTTTTGATATTTATTTAACACAATTGGGCAATTCTACATCACAGAAAAATTAACTTTTCTCAGTTAAATTCTTATTTATGCTATATTTAGTTAAATTATTTAATACTATTTGCCAGTTATCTTTTTTGCACCCATAAAGTAAACTTTACTTTTACACTGGGCAAATGACTTGTTCTAATTAGATTTAGTTCATTCACTTCTTACTGGAACAGGTGATGACTTCAGGCATTCTACTATACAACTATTTGTTATTTTTCAGACAAACTAATACTGTCCATATCACAGATGAGTTTGATATGGAGTAAGAGATATACTGAATAACTTATAACATGCAGTATTCCAAATAGAATACATGAACTTCGAATGCATGATATGTCTTAAGCAAGACAAAGTCTTTAACTACCATAGATTTTCGAAAACAGTTTTCTTCGTCATCATTACATGAATTAGTGAGTTTAATCATATTTTGAAGTATATTTTCAGACAGAACTTTTTTATTGACTTCACTACTTTTTCAAACAACTTGTTGTCTTTATTAGTATATCGGGTAACGTTATCTCAAAATGTCCATTTAAAAAAATGAAATTGCTAACAACATATTCGTTTAACACATCCATAGTTTTAATTTTATCTAACTTCAGGTTATTTCGAACAGAGATTTTGATGTTGGTTTAGTTATCTCCATTGTAGTGACAGTTTGTCATAATGTAAAAATCAATTTAAGTACAAATGGGAAGAAGAAGAATGTTATCATGAGGAAGAAATTATCTGATAATCATAGGGTGTGATAACTAGAGGTTGCAAAGAAAAGCATTCTAAGCTGTGACTGAATTTGTTTCGGTAACCTCTGGTTTGTTGACGTAACTGTAGTTGAAATTCAACTGTAATAGACTTTTATTTTGATTTCACTTATTACTCAACTACAAGAAATTCAATCTCTACAACGCTGCGGTATACAAAGCTAATATAATCAGTCTATGCAGACTAAATATTAGTCGGCATTGATTAGATTCACACTGATACCTTCATTAACTTGATTGTCTTTGAATGTATTTAGATATTTTGAATGGTATACTAATAACCGTTGAGACTTTACAATGAAAGTTTCAGTATTATTCGTTTTTAATTATTTGGCGTAAACATTCTCCATTCCTAAATAATTATTTATAATCTCTGAACTAAAAATTCTGGTCAAAATATTTTGTTTATTTTAGTGCTGCCTCATTTCTTTTTTTCCTCAGTGTTGAACAAAACTGATTATTATGCAAGTAGGAAAATATTTTCTTCTGATACTTTCACTTCCTTTCTTTGACACATTGAATATGTTTTATTTCTAAGCAGGTTTCCTATTATAAGTATAACTAATACTGCCAAGTTGTTAGGTATAATCATACAACAGTGTACATCTATCGATTTACATACATAAAGAACCAAGCATTATTCTGTGAAGACAAAATCTGCCGTTCTTCAAATCATCACATCAAGTGAAAAGTAATCACTACGAAAAGGACACTTAAAAATTATCAGGAGCTGTTAAAGGCTATGAGTAAAAGAGAGAAAACTAGTTATGAATAAAGATATACAATACAGAATCGATTAAAAAACAAGTAATAAATCCATTCGCTCCCATTAAGTTTGATTCCAGATGTACGCAAAAAAAGATATCAGTTGTCAAACGAACTGAAATCATGCAAACTAAACTTTCACACGTGGCCGAAACCCACGGTCGTAGATTGAGGCTTTTATTCCTCAACTCATAATTTTCTAGTCCAGTTAATGTGGTATGTTGAAGTTAACAGTGTGAACGTAAACAGTATATGCCTTTTCATCCAACTTAAACATCGAGTGTTTATAACCTTATCAACTGAATAGTTCATGTTAGCTAATAGTGTATTTTGCTTATATTGGGGTTCCACAACACTCAGACTACTGTATGAAGATATTGGTCTTCAAATATCCCAAGCAATTTCTCTTTAACTAGCCCATACATAATATCTTAATCGCACTGTTTCAAGGCATACTTCATAAACTTTTTTTAAAGCAGCTTTTAAACAACTCAATATCTGCTGCTTGACAGGACTTAATAAGTAACAGTAGATGCTACTGTCATCCTTATTTTCATCATTACGCAATATTTGTTGACAGTAGACACGATAAGTAAACTTTTTATATATTTTAGAGACCCTCATATGAAACAACTAGTCGTCAGTGATATTGGAATGAGTTTCCATCATCTCCCTGTTATCCCGCCTTCAAAGTCTTACTTGATAATTGTACGATTTTGCTCAACAACTGATTATTAAGTTTGAGGTCTGTTTTCATTTAAAATACTACATTTTGAAGCGTGTAATCTTATTATATCTACGTCTTCCTCAACGTGGGACTAGGCACCTATTCACTGACATTTTAGCAGTATTGTTTTCCAGACGAATATCTAAATTGGGTAATTATTCGAAGAATGCTTGATTTAATTGTTGTCCTAAAACATATTACCTAAGGAAGTGTCTTACTCAACAGATTGGCGATGGTTGTTTCACCTTAAACACAAACTTCTGATATCCGAACTACCAAATGCATCTGAAAAACTGCTTCTCAGTAGTATTCAGTTGCATAACTAAGAGACAATCACTGTTTATCACTGCACATCAAAAGAAAACAATTCCCAGATAGCGAACTATTACTTTCTTGTTCATTAGAGTTTTGATCACTTAGCTTTGATTAACTACCATTCTTTGATATCTCTGTATTTCTATAAAATTTATGGTCTCTTTTTGCTAAGTTGTCTAAATAGCAGTTAGCTAAATTACTACACTTGAAATTCATGTAACCCCAATAATTTATTATAATCCAGAGATATCACTCATTTCGTCTGGTACTCCAGGTATTATGTGGAATTTACTTAAATAGAATATTCAGATAAAGCTTAGATAATCATATATAGAAGCTACAGAAATATAGTTGCTCTCCATATTAATAAGTTTATTGGATATATCACACGGTGAAACAACATTATATACTGGGTGACGTTTCGAACATAATTTATTTTTCATAATCATTTCAATTATAACCACACAACTTCGAAACTTCCATTTTATGGTTTTTTTATTCTTTCGTATTTGTCGTAGGGGTAGTAGAATTTTCAAGATGTCTGGGACAGATGCTGAATCATTCCTATTACATGTGTTCGCAGTTGATTCGATAGACAAAGCTTCTGTTATCAATCTCTCCTTCCATCATGTTACATTAGATTTTAAAACTGTCATCTTATCACATTCTATTGTATAGTGGGATGATCCGGAATCCAAATATCCGTTTGAATGTGTGGGTCTCCTGTAAACACTAGTGATTAACTTCCCATTTTCTTTCCTTTTTAAGTTAAAATCTAACATTGGAAGCTCCCTTTCTTGACTTTCCAGTTCATAGGTGATTTATATCGCCCTACCTTCGAATTAGGCATTTAAGGCAAAAATGATGGGGACAGTTATCAACAAGCATTACGATTTTATCTTTGACAGTGTCAAATCAGCAGCATTCAAAAAGTTACAAAATACTCATCAAAAAGTTCAATAAATCATTGGTGGAGAAATCCCCATCTGGGAACTATGGGATCAGCAATCTAAAGTCAACAACAATCGATAAAAGAAAGTGAGTTATCAATCTATCAGCACATGTGTTAAGTCCCACAGAAATAAGTGTATTAGAAAATGGATTAAGTTTCAGTGTATCAGTGGACAAGCTGAAACCAGAGGATTTCATCCCTAAGATGGAAATAGCATTAAGTGGGATAGACGAAACACCAGCCGATGAAGTACGGGCACAATGTGCAGTGACAGTAAAACGATAATAAAGAGGAAAGCCTAACTTGACGAAACCAGAGATAAAAGCCCTAAAAAACCTTGGGAATAACGAGGATATGTTAGTTACTAAATCACACAAAGGGAATGCAACAGTAGTGTAAGACAAATCAGACTATTTAGAGGAGGTGAATACCCACATACAAACAAAACCATGTGAAAAAATTAAGAAATCAATAGATACCGTTATG